CTAAATCTGTTGGGATAAAAACAACATTTACATCTTAAATGCAGTGATGTTTAAAGTAAGAGAAACTGAAAATAAGAACCTCAGGACTGACCTTCACCAGCAGCGCAGAGCGTTTATCTTCATCCAGAGCTGCTGGCTGAGCGGCACAATGTCAAACCTGTGAGTGTTTCCATGCACGGATGGATTCAGGCGTTGGCGTGTTGTTAAGTCATATTTTAATCTTCCAAACCCACACAGACACAGCCAGTCACTAAACTGTGTGTTCGTCCTGTAGGAGCTCATCTCTGCAGAGCCTCAACGCTATGAAATCAAAAACACAAACAACCACACCAAGCTGCTGGTGCACAACCTGACGGAGGCCGACTCTGGCGTGTTCTTCTGCGGCGCCGTGTTCGCCATCCACACCACCATGAGACCCGTGGAGCTGAAGGTCAGCTGAGGATCACAGATGATTACATTTATACGAACACTGTGCAACGTTGTGATGGTTTAACTCACAGAAGAAAATGATCCACAACATCTGGAGGCATAAAACACACAATAATGCAGCAGATGTCAAAGATTTACGAGCGTTTCTGAACCTCTTCTCCTCACATGAAAACTGCCGAGTCACGTTTTAGATGTTTGAATTGTTAGCAGAAGAGAAAATGACTCTTTATCTGCTCTGTGGCCCCAAAAGCTCAAATGAGCCACTAATGAATCCACTCATTACCTCTCAGACATGCAGCGCCTTTAAAAAGTCTTCATCACCTTCACACGTCGTCCCCTTTCATTTCTTTTCAGCATCACATCATTGTTCATTTAACTGGAATTTTACCCCAGAAAGACTCTTTCATGTCAAAGTGAAAACAGATTTCTACGAGCTAATGTCAGTTAATTAAAGATAAAGTTTATTGATCCCACAGAGGGGAAAGTTCACCGTTACAATATAAAAAGTACAATTTGTGATAGTAACTCACTCAGGTGCTACCAGTTGGTGCTAGAACTCATACAGTCAGTGAAGGGCCACTGAGGGAGGACGTCAGACTGAAGGTGTGAGAGGAGGTCTCCAGAGCTGATGCTGGTGTTGTGTGTGAACTGCTGCTCTGCTGCCGTCACTTCTCCTGATCAGTAAACCTTATTTCAACCTCAGTCATCTGAGTCTCTGTGTGTCTCTGTGTCCTCATCCTGCATCAGCCTCCTCCAGAAGGTCCACAACAGGCACATCTGCTGTCCTTGTCATTGGGCTGAACTTGTACCATTACATTACAAGTAATGGAGTATTTTTACATCTTTGATATTGTTGCTTTAACGTCTGTCTGCTTCCTCCACCCCCGCTGAAGGTCATCACCTTCATGGAGCCCCTGAAGCCCTTCATCAGCATCCTGGTGGAGGTCGTCGTCCTGGTCGCCGCTATTCTGCTCTTCGAGAGGTGTCAGTCCAAGAAGAAGGTCCCAGCAGGTGGTTCCACTGCACTGATCCGATGCTCCAGTAGATCTACATGACACAGACAAGTCCTCACACCCAAGAATTTACATGAACATCCATCTTTTTCTACACATCTCAGTCATTTCTTGGCTGACTGTCGAGCCTCCGACTGTTTTTAACTTGTAATGATCGGCTTTGTTCTCAGGAGACGGGACCACCGCTGACCAGAAGAACATGCTGTGAGTACTTCCTCTGGAGACATTTCCCAGTTTTGATTTGTATATTTCCAGTTTTTAATGACAAATGAAACTTTTCTGCCTTCTCCAGGCCGCAGGGAGACGATAACGCATCAGAGGGAAGTTCCTCGATGAGACAACGCAAAGTTTGAAGACCACAGAGGCTGAAAGGCAGCAGATCAAAGCTTCTTTAAAATGCTTGTGTTCGAATGTGAATGACGGATGAGTTTTAAAGCAATACTTATGCACTTGTTTTCATCTATGAATGCAAATATTCTCACCAGACAAAGTGCAATAAGCTCCACCTAACCAGCAGTCTGTTTGCTTCCTGTTTGTCTTGATGTTGTCATGACTCCCTCCTCCTGCATCTCCTTCACTTCCTGTAGAGAAACCCACACGTGTGTTTGACTTCAAACGTCTTTGTCACGTCTGTTGAAACGGAAGTGTGCTTGTCTTCTCTTTGGGCCACAACTCCAACCTCAGGTCGTCCTTCCTGTTGCTTTCTGCTCCGCCGTGGCTCCTGAGCAGTGCCTTACAGTCACACAGCCAATACCAAACATCCACTGAGCTCCAGCCTGCAGCAGCGCGTCTACCCACATATATATCCTCATGTATGCTGATGTTTGTGCATAATTTTGTTGTAAATGAAGTCAGAGGGTCGACTTCAGGCTGCACTGTGTCCAGATTAAAACTACACAAATGACTGTTAGTGTGTCGGCTGTCCATCACTGACCAGGAGAGCCAACATGACGTACAAATAAAGAGCTCAGCTAGAAAAACAGGCAGCTGCTTTTTTGTAGACTTTCAGAAAAACTTTTTTTGTTGTTTGTTTGAGATGATATCAGTCCAACTGAAGCTGACTCAGTAGGAAAGACAACAGAGATAACTGAAGGTTTGTGGGTTTATGGAGGTTATCTGTTCTAGCAAATGAACTCGTCACACATTTATGCTGTCGTAGAAAGCTCACAAACACACGTGCACATTTTTAAAGAATGATTTTATTTTTACATAAATACAACCAGCATGATAATAATAATACTCAGCGGAGCCCTGAAAGGTCACAGAGGAGACGTTTGACTTCACAACATCTGTCCCACAGAGAAGGACTGATGCTAACACAGGATCTTACAGCTGTGAGAGTCGGTGCATCTGAAGCTGTGGCTGCTGCGACGCACATCTGCAGCTTTGCATTTAAAGGAAAAAGAAATTCTATTCGTGAAGTCCTGTGGTGTCATTAAAGAACAAAGACGGAAGAACAGCAGCTTCAGACAGTCGCACACATCCACAGAGGAAGCTGAGGTTTGATCACCAACCATGAATCCAGCTGAGCTCACAACCTGCAGCTGGTCAGAGATCCATCCATCATGTCTACACCTTCATCCTCACCAGGGTCATGGGGGGCGGAGTCTATCCCAGCTGACTCAGGGTGAAGGCAGGTTCACCTGGACAGGTAACCAGTCTATCACAGGGCTACACTTAGAGACAGACAACCAAGCACACTCACATTCACACCTACGGACAATTTACAATCACCAATTAACCTCAGCATGTTTCTGGACTGTGGGAGGAAGCCGGAGAACCCGGAGAGAACCCACGCTGCACGGGGAGAACATGGAGACTCCACGCAGAAAGATCCCGGGTGTCCTCACCAGGACGCCAACCAGCGACCTTCTAGCTGTGAGGCCACGATGCTAACCACCGAGACACCTGCAGTCAGAGGTCGACCGTTTTAAATGAACACAACATGCGTCATATCTCACATCTCTTTATTACAGCATCTGTGGAGCCTTTCCCTTCATACATGTATTAGAACTTATTGCGACGTCCAGAAACGTCCCCGCTGTGACCTCTCAGGAGCTCCGTAGGAATCAGGGGTGTGTGTGCAGAGTGTTTAGTTTGACCCACATTCTTCTGCTTCTGAACACTGTCCAGCTCCTTCTCTTGGATTCTTGCATCTTCACATCGAGACATGAAGCCTCTGCACGACTCTACGGCTGGTTCATGAGGAACCGAAGCAGCAGCTGGATGACGCCGTCGTTCAGACCCACCACCTCTCCGTCCTGCACGCTGTCGTACAGGCGCAGGCTCTCCGTGCCCCACAGGAGGTTCTTTCTGGGGTTGTTGGCGTCGGTCTCCACTGACAGAGCCACGGTGTTGAGCTGGTAGCAGAAGAAGGAGAAGAAGTGGCCGTCGGTGATCACGGCCTGAGACACGAAGGGCCTGGTGACGTCTTCGTGGTTCCAGAAACCTGCAGAGAGAAGCGAGATGACGAAACAAATACTAACATAAATCCAGCCAAAAGCAGGCAGTAAATATAATATATAACGATATAAGGCGATATACGAGGACGCCTCCAGCCGGCACTGGCAACACGGAGTTTAATAAAATGTTTAGAAACGGACTCGTAGTCTGACCAGATAATGAGACTTGTTGTTTCCTTATTTAAAGCACATTTGGTCTTTATGAACATTTTCCTTCAGCTTCTACTGATGAGGACTTTAAGGTCCAACAGAAGCTGTAAAGAGCGACTCTGCCTCTGAAGTTACTCTCCTGTAAAACTTTTACAGATTAAAAACAGTAAAACTCATATTTCAGCGTCAGACTGTGAAAACAAAGAGCTGCATTCAGTACAAGGAGAAGAGAAAGTAAAGCATAAGTCCTCCATCACAGACGTGCAGCAATGAACGAATCAGTCGTCAGCTATTCTGACAACTGATCTGGTGTTTGTGGACATCAGAGCACATCATCGTGGGTTTAGGAGGAGTCCCTGGTCACACATTTCACCGCTTCCTGTCATCTTATGGACCAACCAGCTGGCTGCAGTCCTGTTCTGTGTGTTGAACGCTCACCCTGGTACATGGCCTGAGCTCCTGTCCAGGCGAACAGGCTGGCGATGGCATTGGCTCTGAGGAAAACCTCCACCTGGTCAGACTGCTGCAGCCGACTCATCCGGTCTCTGTGGTACCTGTCGGGCACCAGGTGGAACTGAGTGTGACCGTAGCACGCCGGGTCTGGTAGCTTGGCACCTGAAGGAGAGCAGGTTTAATACGAACAGCTGAAGCAGGAGGGATAAGTTTGTTTCCATGACGACTCATCAGTCAATCAGCTGATCAAAACAGTTTTCACAGTTGAGCAAACTTCAAGCCAAAAATCAAAAATACAGGTTAGCTGCACGTTGGCGCCCCCTAATGGCAGCAAGAAGTAACTGAATAAGCAGCTCGTACCACGTTTACCAACCAGGATGGGCGACACATAGCAGCTAACGAGACTTAAAATTAAATGTGGCTGATCCAGAAGCACATGACTGGAACAACGTGAGAAGCAGCAGTGGGTCTGTCACCTGTGAAGATGTTGTTGTCGTACTGTCTCCTGAACATCGGCATCAGGTTGGGCGCACACGTGACCTCAGGAACTTCAGCTGCATACGAGTCCTCCAGAGGGACAAACTGAGAGACATCAAGACGACAGGAAGTGACTAAAACTAAATCACACGTATGTTTAACTCTCTGGACCTGCGCAGCACTGCTCAGAACACCGTTAGAAAGTTAGTGAAACACTTCAGGACTGCAAGAAGGAAAATCAGACACGCTGGAGATGAAACGGTCTGTTAATGAGAAAAAACACAAGAACATTTGTAAAGAGGCACATTTTCAGAAAGTGTTATTAATTGTGCACGTCTCAGACGTTTATGCAGGAGTTCAGAGCTGAAGGACGATGACGACGACACCAGGATCTGAGCTCACAGCGAAGCAACAACTCAGCTGGAAGCTAAACCAGGAAGCTCTCTGACCGCTAACAGGAAGGTCAAACAGGACAAACGTGATGTTTCTAGTCTCTGGTGGGTCCAGTTCAGATTCTGTGACATCTTATTGATGTGTTTCCCTCGATGCTCTGCAGTAATTTACTTTTCTGCAGACCGAGGAGCAAAAGCAACGATCTGTTTTTCGTGCTGCTGTTGACCTCTCTGCTCTGAACATGTTTCTACCTGCGGCAGCTGCTGAGTGACTCTGATCTGGCTGAGCGGACGGTCGTCGATCTGGAACCTGGTCGGCTCCAAGTGGCGTCTCCGGTGGCCTTTGGGGATGACTCTCTGTCCCCTCCTCCAGTAAAAGTTCACCTGAGCACCGAGATCTGAGAGAGACAGAATATTAGAAACACAGTCGGCGTTTGCAGAGACTCAGTTTCTTTAGTGTCTTCATACATGTTTGGTGTTTGGCTGAGAGCTGCTGCTGAACGTACGTCTGCAGAACGTCACTGTTTCTCTGCATTCCTGCCGGGATCGTTTCATTATGTCACCAATGTGCCGTCTTTAGTTTAAAAAAACAAGAGTTTTATCGACTCACTGGTTAAAGAACATCATGAACTAATATTATTATTAAATAGAGAAAGACAGAATCTGTCAAACACTTTTCGATTCGCTTCATAAAATCCCAAAACAATGAATTAATCAGTAAGTCGACGAACTTTGAGTTTTTACGTTTTCTTTGTTTTTGCACTTCAGCTCCACAACAATCAAATAACCAGCACTGGATTACTTTAGTTACTGGATTACTTTAGTTACTGGATTACTGCTACTGGAGGTACTTTAGCACAGTCTGACCATTAATAGGAGATAAAAACATGTGACTGGGTTTGATTTGAACTGCTATCCGGCAGCACACAGAACCAGCTGGTGGACACATGAATGCATCACAACTCATACTGTTGGTGTTTTCATTTTACTTTACAGGTCAAGACTTCTTTAGTATTAATTAACTTTTCTTTTTAAGCTAATTCATCAATGAAATACCAACCAGGGTTCTCTGATGAGTTCAAGGTCTTGTTTTGTCTAAAATCATTCAAATACACCGTTTACTGTAAAATGACAGAGAAAATCAGACAACACTCATGTCTACAAGGTTGATCAGTTAATAAAACAGCTGCACATCATTCCTCATGCACCAAACTGGTCCACCGGGACCCGGTCTTACCCAGGCTGGACAGCAGCAGCAGCGGGTTGTGTTTTCCCAGACTGTGCGTGAGTTCGGTCACCAGGCTCCTCAGCAGAGGTCCGACCGTCTGCTCCTGGTGTCTGTACAGGAAAGGTTCGCGTTTCTTCATGTGCCACTGCTCCTGCAGGATCACACGGGTCACCAGAGAGCGGAGGTCCGCGAACGCATCATCACTGATCCCCGGCACCGCGGTCTGAGCCGCGGCCGACGGCGAGCTGCCCTCCGCCACAGGGCCGAACTTGTCGGGCAGACCCGGGATGTAGGCGGTCTTGGTGAAGTGCTGGTACCATCTGTCTGCGTTCCGGGCGAACGTCTGCGGGTAAACCACGAACTTCTTCCGCTGGATGCGGGTGATGAGGGACAGCTTCTCCTGCAGCGGGGCGGCGCGGATCACTTTGACATACTCCTCGATCTGCCGCAGCCGGGCGGACTTGCTCTTGGCCGTGAGAGAGGCGACCACCGGCGGGTACGCGGGCTGCTTCACCTCAGCCTCGGTGTGAGTGAGCCTCTGGGTCCGAAACGGAGGCAGGTTTCTGGGGAACAGCAAGGGCAGCCGTGTGCGGGCCGCCATGTTGGCTGCAGGACTTCTTCTTCTTCCGTTTCGTTGACACGAACCAGCAGCCGCCACAGCTACAGCGCCCCCCTGTGGCAAAAAAAAAGCATTCATCTGGTCCAAACTTATTTCACTGTGTTCAAATATTCAAGCCTAATAGTTTATCTGTTTAACTGTTCTGGTTCAGCACAGACCCTCACCCCAGCCGGCTGTCCTCCCTGAGCCTGGTTTTTCACTGTCTTTTATATTTGTTTGTATTTTCCTAATTAATAATCTGCATTAATCAGGAAATCATTAGAGTACGTCACTGTAGTTTTCTAACCTTAATATTTAATTTAGTCAGCTAAATGTGTGTTTTATATGATATTATATGGTCTTAACTTTATTATTCGTGTAAATTTACATAATAAACAATTCTGTTGTACTTAACCTTAAAATTTAAACTGTTCAGGTAAGATAGCATAATTATTTAAATCTATTAACTTTCCATTCAGATAAATGTGTACCTTATTTAACACAGTAGGGTTCACATTTAAATCAGTTCTGTAAATGTGAATACTGAACAGGGTTGTAGGGCCTTAATCTGGATATTTAATCTTAATCTTAAATAATATTGTTATGGTCTAAACCAGAACTTTGAAATTACAACATGTTGTTATAAATTAATAATATTGTCCAATTTGAACCTTTTATATTAAAATTTGACATATTGGTTAAGCTGCAGTGCCTTCATTGTCATATTTAACTTAGTCAGGCACATTTTCAGAATTACTAATATTATAGTGTTTTATCCTTAACATTTAAATGAGTCGTGTAGATGTGCAGATTGCAGGTAATAATATTATATGTTCTTAACCCTAATTCGTTGATTTTGTTAAATTATTTTTTAAAATAATATTGTGGGGTCCTTACCTTAATGATAAAATGACTTGAGTAAATTTGCATAGTAAAAAAAAAATCTAGTGTTTTCATCTTATTATTTAAACTTTAAAAAAAATAAAAAATCTTAATATTTAAATTCTTCAGGCATGAAAACACTTTGGTTGACGTGTGTTATTATAAATGTGATTTATTAAGGTTTATCTGTTTTAACTATTTTGATTGTAATAATTATTATTAACATATTGTGTTATGCACGTTTGCATCTGCAGGTTTTTTTTAAATTATATTTTTAGTATTTTTGTTTTAACTGTTGCTAAACGTCTTCCTGGATGTCCTCCTGCCTTTCAGCCTCTCACTGACCGTTTTAAACCCTTGTTCAGTGCCATATAAATAAAGTTATTATCATCATTTACTTGTTCTTTCTTTCGTTTTCTTACTTTCCTTTTCTTTCCATTGTTGTAATTAAGGTTTGTTAACATTCTTCTGTTTAACATCGCAGAACGTTGCTGCTCTTGAAGCGACCCCTGAGCACGTCATGCATGGCTCCTTTACGGCCATGCAAAAATGTCGTAAAATCGTGTGCGCTCTTTTGCTAAGGTCAATAATATAAATAAAGTACATAAACGTAGACTAGCAGGTATACATATCGGAGAGTTTATATCTTGTTTTTTTTTTTTAAAGGAAGGCTGTGCATTTTTGGGACCAGTAATTTACGTTATTGTCGAATTTCGCACCCATTTAACGTCTAATTCCAACACGGGTAGTGAAATATCGCAATTAAAATAAATAATGACACAGCAGCAACTTTATGCTTTTGTAAATGCGTCTTTATTATTCTACACGATTACAAATCGTGGTCAGGACCTGATTCCATTAAAGCAATATGAATTTTACGGAGGGTACCTGAAGGCACCACAGAAGTCGCTCGTTTAGGTGAAGCCTTGTGGTTCCACGAGCGACTTGTTTGGCCTCAAAAAATAGTTGTATTGTGAAATATTTCCACCAGAACCCTCCAGCAGCTGCTCAGCTGGCCATGTTTCTTCGCCGGGCTTTGCGGACACAGCTCGCCGGGACCAGGGCGGCTCAGCTCGGCCGCATCCACCGCGTCTGTCGAGCCGAGGTAGCTGCTGTCATCCTCCTAAACGTGTTCTGTCCGGTACCCGCCGCAGAGCGTTTGGGTCCCGCCAGCTCTGGTGGTGGATGTGGGGAGCCCTCAGTGCCCCCCCACCACCTCCACCACCCAGAGGTCTGGTGTTGTTGTTGTGCCCCCTCCACGGTGTGTAGATCAGCTGTTCCTCCGTGTCACCGTGTGTCTCTGTGACCCTTCAGAGGCCGCTGTGCTCCAGGAGCGACGAGGTCCGGCTGGCGGAGGAGGCCAGCAGGAAGTACGGGTCTCCGGCTCCGACCATCTTCTCCAAGGTGATCGATAGAAGCATTCCTGCAGACATCATCTATGAAGACGAGAAGGTAAACAGCAGGAAGCGGCCTCTGCACAGAGTCCACCTCATCTGGACACGTGGAGATGAAGCCACACGGTGTTGTTGTTGTTGTTGTTGTTGTTGTTGTGTGTTTGTCAGTGTGTAGTTGGACTGAAACATGCAGAAACGTAACACTGCAGTGATGCTGGTAGCTGCAGTTTAGTTTTTAAATAGTTTCTGTTATTGGAGTCACGTGTTCATTACGTCACATATAATCACAGATCATTAGATTTCCACAGTGACACATTTCCCTTTTTCAAAAGCAACATGAACATGGGGCGTCTTCATTACAATAAAAGAATAAAAACAACCTTAATATAAAGACAATCCCTCCATCATCTCTACACCTTCATCCTCACCAGGGTCATGGGGGGCGGAGCCTATCCCAGCTGATATAAATATGTGCATGTGCTACATATATATATAAGATGTTATCTTTGTGTGTTTACCAGTGTCTGGCGTTCAGAGACATCAGCCCACAGGCTCCGGTTCACTTCCTGGTTATTCCACGGGTCCCTATTCCCAGAATCAGTGCAGCCAGAGACGACGATGCTGAGGTCAGTTGTTCACCGTGAGATGAGGAGAATGTTTTATGCCGGACACACAAAACACACAATCAACCAGTTTCACACACACTCACGTCCATGTTTGTCCACGAGACTGAGTCGCCGTCTGCAGAGGTTTGCTTCCAGTCACTCATTGACCAATATGAGATGTCAGGTTGTGTTCACTGATTAACATCAAACCGTCTTCATGTTCCCTCCTGGCTGCCTCTCTCTGTTTTTCCTCATCTCTCAGCTTTTAGGACATTTGCTGGTTGTTGCCAAAAATGTGGCGAAGCAAGAATCTCTACATGAAGGATACAGAGTGGGTGAGTTATTAGGTTTAGTAACTAACAGAAACGTTCCTCTGGATGTTTGTGTGAACACACAGGCCGTTTATTTACGTGCACGCCGTGTTTTCAGTGATCAACGATGGAAAGCACGGCGCTCAGTCGGTCTACCACCTCCACATCCACGTCCTGGGAGGAAGGCAGATGAACTGGCCGCCTGGATGATGGCTTCACATCAGTGTGTGTCTGCACCGACAGTCTTCATGGATTCATTCCCATCACATGACGTCTGTTCATCCAGAAGATTTCATCTGATTCTCTGCACGAAAAACTCACAAAATATTAAATGTAAATATGTTGATCTGAACAAATGTACAAATGAAATGTAAAAATGACGACATTATGTTTGATACGGCTGCAAATAAAGACACTATTTCTGATGTGAACAGCTTGAAACTCAGCTTCTTTAGTCTCACATTGTCTGTGAAACAATACAAATAATACGACTGCCAGCCACAGCGTGACGTTTTAAATCACCAGAAAGAAAGCATAAAGTACCACACTGGAGAACTAAGATTGTCAATATTCCTGTAAAAGGTCGATATTAACTGGAATGAACAAACACAAAATGTTAAATATATTCACATACGAGGTAAACACATTAAAATATAAACCAAATATAAGTATAATATTTATGTATATAATATATAAGCTTTAAATGGGGTCTGGATGCTTTTTTAAGTAAATAACCTCTTAATGATTATTTTTTTAAGATTCAGCTTTTTATCTGAATCTCTGAGCGTTCAGGAGCATCCAGGTGCTGCTGATTAAAGCTTTAGAGGCTGTAATTCATAACTTTATGAAGGACTAATAAGGAACATAGAGCTGCTTTATAGGTTATAAGCCATCAATGAGAGAGTCTGTTGGGTTGCCAGATTGTGGAAAATCCTCCTCCTGCAGTCTTCAGATGGGCCGTTTGAGCTCGTCTAGATAAGAGAACATCTGGATCAACGCCTGTTTAACTGCTTATGAGCATTTACAGTTTGTTATGTAAAAACCTTTTATGACCTGATTCACAGCGTTCACTCTGGAAATGAAAAACCTGAACGAGTTCACATTCAGTAAAAGGAAAGCTGGTGCTAGGAGCAGATTTATGACCTTTCTGAGTTAATTTCTCATTTAGATGTTTGAATAATGCAGCTATGCCTGGAGCTTCACACTTCCTAACAGCTAAGTCATTAAATTCAATAAAAGCGTCGTAAATGTTGGATTTCTGAATTTCTAATTAGCAAAAAGTCGGTTCTTCTGCAGTTATCAGTACGGCTGAATGATACGTCAAGAAAAATACTGCCATTAATTTAACTGATCTTGTGATATGAAAACCACCTTTTTATTATATTTTCTTTCCTGCTAGCTGGTAAAGTGATTGTTGTCTGCACCAAATCAGCATGTTGTCTTACATCTGGAGAACATGACTTCATACAGGCCGAAGCATCATCAGACTGATTACAGCTCCTGTGCTTCAGATATCACACCTGGACATACTGCAGCGTCAATAATATCCTATTTATTGATCAGCCTGAGCTGTAAATGCTAATAAACTGTTTAGGAATGCATTTGGTCGGCTGTCTCTCTATGAAGAGGCCTAACTGCCAAATAACCAGCAAAGTCTCAGGATGCAGGAGGAGGATTTCCCACAATCTGGCAACCCAGAAGTTGCTCTAAAGCAGTGGTTCTCAACGACCCCCAAGACAGCACCAGTTTGTGTTCGTGACCCCCCAGTTTGAATTCTTAGCATATCATGAGTCATAACTGTTGTTCAGGCGTTAAAACATTAATGTGTTCATTCCACAGATTCATGTCTTCACATGAACATTCTCTTTTAAATGAATGAACTGAATTTGTTTTGAACAAATGAAAGGGAAAAAAGTATAAAAACAAAAGCAAATCATTTTAAAAAGAGCAAAAAAGAATAATAATATAATCACATCATGATATTAACAAGTCTGAAAAGGAGTGGGAAGAATTAAACCCTGGGACCTCCATGAGGGCCCCGACCCCCAGTTTGAGAACCAAACAAGTGATCAATAAAGGCCCAGTGAATTACGTGTTGCCGCTGATAAAGGCTTAAAGCTGATAAACTGGTGACGGCGTCTTATCAGGACGGAGACGTGTTCAGAGGAAACTAGAACATCCGTGAAGTTCAATCATTCCCCAGGCCTGCACAAACAAAGTGTTTTCTATTCTATTCTATTCTATTCTATTCTATTCTACTCTATTCTATTCTATTCTACTCTTTTCTATTCTATTCTATTCTCTGTGGGTACATTCATTAACTGTTTCCTCTCACTAATCATTCATGACCTCCTCCGGCCGACGTGTCCTGCTGCCGGCGGCGGGGCTCGGATGGGAGCCGCCGTGGGGCCACCGGTGGTGTGATGCAGTGACCGTGGCGGCTGTCAGCGGGGTTACTGTGTGTCACTGCAGAGCCATGGCTCAACTTTGGCCTGTATTTGCTGACAGGACTGCGTCCAGCTGCTGTGACCGTGCAGCTCAGGAGGAAGCAGGACTGTTGGATGGTTTAAGGTGTTTAGATCCCACCGGATTTAAAGATAAAATCACTCATGTTGATGTGTTTCATCAGCAGCTTCTGCTCTTTTAGGGAAAGCCAGAGTTGCACAAGTTTTGTTCAGCTGCTGAATATCTGTTTTATGGGTCAAAGTCTCATGTATGACCATAAACCTGCCAGAACTTATCTGTTTTTATCAACTTCTCCCTGACAGGCCTCGTCATGCGAGTCTGATAATATGAGCTGATAACCATCTCATTGCGTCTCCTTCATTGCTTTATAGGATCCTGCTCCAGCTCCAGCAGAACTTAGCAACCAGAACTATGGTCTAAACAAAGCGGGTCTCCACGAGCTGCGGACTGACACCGCTTCAGGTTTCAGTGGTTCTTCTTCACCTTGACGAGCCACAACCTTTGCCCGGTTCTGCTGGTGGATCTTTAACCTCAGCAGCAGGTGCACCGGGGATTGTGCAAGGCTCTGTGGCTCTGGAGGAGGCGCTGGTGCGTGAGGGGCAACCTGCTGTGACCTCAGGTACGTCCCCTATAGAGGGCAACAGTCCAGTACCTGCGCCGGGCAAAGGTTGGTGTGGGTCAGTCCTTCAGCTGCCGAGCTGCTGTCAGGTCGATGCCACTGAGCTCCGGGGGAGAAGGTAGGCAGGCTTCCATCATTACTTCAACTTTCTGAGGCTGTTTAGTGTGAAAAAAATGGTGGATTTCAGTTTTAAACGGAGAGCCTCCATTTGTGTCGGAGCTGTTTTTACCTCCAGAAGGTTTGAAGGCAGAACCAGAGACGTGTTGACAGACCTCCGGGGATGTGAGGCAGACACCACTGTTTGATGTGAGCAGGCTCTTTGGCTTTTTATTGTTGGGTCAACAGAGACAGGAACGACTGAGTCTTTGTTCTCCGCTATGATTGGTTCATATTTAGAGCTAAACAAACACCTGCGAGCTTCCTAGACTTCACCTGTGCTTAACGCGCTGCTCACGGTGGATGCTTCAGGTTTCTACGATGGATCGTCAGAGGCTACGTCGCCTTTCTGGGTAAAGTACAGCCATAGAAAAGGATGAAATCCTGGTTCTGTGCGTTGCAGGACTCTTAGATGACATTTGCAACATCTGGAGCAAAGATTGTGGCGCTCGGTGTTGCCACAGCGCAGATTTGTAAGTCGTGTGAACTTTAGTCCAGGGAACTGTTGACCTGAGTAATCTTGAGAAGCAGAGGCCACTCCGACAGCCTGCTGTCTGGACTGATTTTAATCTAAAGTGGTTTTATTACAGATGCAGCAGCTTGTTTGTTCATAGATGTGGCTCTGGTTGGTTTCCAGGCTCTATCTGATCTCAGCAGATGTGAGTGGTGGACGGATGGCTGACTGCTGTTGACAGGGTGGATAGCTGAAGGTAGAATAAATGTGCAGCAGGAGGATTCTTTCTGCTGTAGCTGGATCCACACACTGGGGGGCGTTGTTCCTCTGTGTAGTGTGGTCACAGCCCAGGCCAGGCTCTTTGTGACAGTATTTGGACTTTATTTAAAGGCTGCTTTGTCAGTTTGCTGCCTAACTTGTGATGGTGGCGTTTGTCATCAGGGTCACGGTTTGAGCTGAAGAGGATAAATCCTGGTTGCAGATGTAGCAACGCTCTCTGGCACCGTATTCCCAGTTTCAACACTCGGCCCTCTGCTGCGTGCGGTTACCAGCGTTGCTATGACCTGTTGCAATGACTCTGACCAATATCAGCCTCATATAAATGAGCCGGGCGGTGCGGTTTCATCATAGATCCTCTTATCTGCTGTCAGGGTCTTCAGTAGAGAACATCCCAATGTCTGAATGCTGACTTTACTTTTTGGTTTCCAGCAAATTCAGGGCGAGTTTCAAAGAGAATTCAGTGACGAACAGAGGTGTTGGAGCCATGGATGATCACATGGAAAGGTAAGTAAGCTGAAGCATGTCCCAGAGAACAAGCTGAAGATTGGATCCGGTTTGGAGGATTTGATTCTGAATATGAACGCCATCAGCTGTCACTCTTTCCGTCTCCACAGCGTCTCTTTCCAGAAGGAACAGATCAAGTCAGAGGCCGAAGATGTGAAGAACAACTCCGCCGTCGTCTTCAACGGAAAAGTCCTCACAGCTGACCTCAGTGAGAGCCAGGAGACTCAACCTGCCAGTCACAGCGACCCGCCGGCCGAACCTCCCACATCTCCTGAACCAGAGGAAGCTACTGCAGAACCTGAAGCAGGTGAGAGAGGAGCGGATCCGAGGAGGGAAACCTGCTTCAGAACCGAAATCAATCTCAGAGCGACATGCTTTTTATAATCTGTGATTGTAGATGACAGCAGCTCCCTCTGAGGCTCAGTGAGGTTTGTAAGAAAACATGTTGCTGCGCCCCAAAGTCAGGCTATCTAACATTTCCTGTCTTGTTTTTTTTTTTTATTGTGAACTGGGTGGATTCAGATTATTTCTCTTAGCAGCTGCGTTAGGTGGATCACTTTGAGCTGCGTATATAAATACAGTTTGATTGATTAGATGGTGCATCAATCAGATGGATTATTTCTGGAAAGCTCAAAGTTGAATAAAAACATGTTCCTCTAGCAGGTATCAGATTTCCTTCTGTCCTGACTATGAGGCTGTAGAGAACATCTCAGAGGATTTTCTCACTGATGAGTTTGAAGCTTGTTGCTGTTTCTTTGGAGCAGGCGACGGTGATTTAAAGCCTCAGATGACACATGAAGCTGTGATCAGATGATTCGAGGCGGTAAAAACAACACACCCTCCCTCCCAGCTGCAACTTCTCAGATTATTATCATCAGGATATTTATTTTGCACTTGTCACGAGGTTTTAGAGGCTCGGCTTCACGTTGACTCACTGAATGTTTTCGGGAAATATTTCTACACTTTTCACAGTGAAAGTAAAACTGGACAAAGACAGTTATTCATGCTGGTTTGTACAAGACAGGAAGATGAGAGAAAGAGTGATATGCTGCATCTTTTTAGAGGCAGGAAAGAGGTTTTGGTCGAGAGATTCTGTGCATCACTTGACAGATTTATGACTCTTGTGAAAATATGGTTTGTGAAGCTGTTACCAACCAGACTGGAGTTCTGTGACAGGAGTGGACTGAAGAGCTTCAGAGCTTCCAGACATGTTCCTCAGTGTGAAGACTAATCTGCACCTGAGGCTAATTAGATGTAACCAGAGAAGAGAAGCTCAGGGGCTGAATGTCTGAGAGCAGGTTGGAGAAGTTTCTGTACAAACTTTTTGCATTTAAAGGTAGAACAAACAAATGAGTCGTCCCAGTTTTTTATTTACTTTTTTAGAAAGGACAAGACAGAAAGGAGGGCTCAGTGGTTAGCACTGTGGCCTCACAGCTAGAAGGTCGCCGGTTGGCATCCCGGTGAGGACACCCGGGATCTTCCTGCGTGGAGTCTCCATGTTCTCCCCGTGCAGCGTGGGTTCTCTCCGGGTTCTCCGGCTTCCTCCCACAGTCCAGAAACATGCTGAGGTTAATTGGTGATTGTAAATTGTCCGTAGGTGTGAATGTGAGTGTGCTTGGTTGTCTGTCTCTAAGTGTAGCCCTGTGATAGACTGGTTACCTGTCCAGGTGAACCTGCCTTCACCCTGAGTCAGCTGGGATAGGCTCCACCCCCCATGACCCTAGTGAGGATGAAGGTGTAGCGATGATGGATGGATGGAAGACAGTAAGGCGCTGGCTCGGGCCCGGAGTTGGCCGGTACCACGGACGTGGACTTGGCGGCCTCAGAAGACCCGGTCTTTCTTGTGAGGGGGCTCAGAATAAGGCAGAACAATTAAACATGAATTACAATAAGGGGTAGTTGAGTGAGGCCTTTTGTAGAACAAATAGTGTTGTTGTGCCTTTGCCCTTTCAGGCCGTATCAGTTCCTCTGACCAAACCTGATCAGTAGGTAGGCATTCCACAACTTCCTGTTTTGTCTCAGGTGACAGAACAGCCTTCCCCGTTCGTCGCTGCAAATCATGTTGCTCTGAGACAGCAGGTGTGACACACCCACAGAGACACTACAGGGATGTTGGCCGTCCTCTCAGTCACTCCACTCGTCCTCTGAGCGGGAAGCTTGCTGTGCCTTGCAGTCACTTTGGAATTGGACTTGTCATCCATGGCGGGTAAATGCAACTGTCCCTGTTGTCCCAATGCAGAGGAGCCCAAAGCCACCGTCCTGACCAAGACGAGCTTGGCCACGACTTTGGCCCCCGCAGACCAGCTGTGGAGCTCCAGCAGAGACCAGGCGGTCAGGCTGAGGATGGAGGGCTCAGGACCGGGCTCCGAGACTCCCATCACCATCCATCAGCTGTTCCTGGAGGCGGTGGACAAATGTGAGGATCATCCAGCTCTGATCTCCAAAGAGAACGGCCAAGCGGTGACTCTGACCTACAGGCAGTACTACGAGCAGTGTCGAGCAGCGGCTAAAAGCTTCCTCAAGGTTTGTTTTTGAACTTCTGCATATATTTAACAAACTATACGACTGCATGCTTGAACTATGTGAACTGTAGAGCTACCAGGATGTGACTTTGTCTCCGTACTTCAGCACACGGCTCCAGGATTAACGCGCTGACTTCATTTAAAGCTTAACTTTATGAAGTCCTCCAACCTTCAGCAACAGAAACTAAACAAACTAATTTAGTCCTGACAACACGACGCTGACACAGAGGTACTTTTAAGCATAAACTTACTAAACTAAACCACCTAAAACTGTACCAAGCTGCCAGAAGATCTCTCAAAGAGAGCAGCAGACACGTGATGCCACCACAGATTTTTACTGCATCATCTGCTGTTTGCTTCAGGCTCTTATTGCTTTTAGTCCTTCAGCAAATATGTAACCTCCTGGAGGTCAGGTCAGTCAAATAAAACCCCTTCTTTGGCCATAAAAAGCTGAAGTTTGCCTTGTTTGTATAGTTAGGATCATCTTTCTGCTGCATTGTGCTTTAAAAGTTCTGCATGTCCCCCCAAAGCATTTAAAGCCACAGTTTCATTTCCATCCAGTGTGCTGCAGTGGAGCCAAAGTTTCTGTTATCATCTAAACTAGTGGAGATGGTGTTTTTGATCCAGTAGATGGATTTGTGTACTGTAGCTGTCACACAAAGCCTTCACCTGCTGGCTCCAGGCTTGTAAACAGTTCTTCAGACTGACTGCGGCTCTCCTCGGCGTGAGAATGCGCCGCTGAAAGCCAACACTTGGGTGTGTGAAATTCACAGCTTGAGTTACATCTCCTGTTTCACGGCCATGCTTGTGTCCCGTGAAGTGGCGTGGCTTTCCAAGCAAAGATGTAGGTCAGAAGTAGCGGAGGCGCCGCCGTGTCATTAAAGCTATACGTCCTGTTTAAGTAACAACAACAACCTGTGTGTTTGCAGCTGGGGCTGGAGCGTTACCATGGCGTGGGCATCCTGGGATTCAACTCCCCCGAGTGGTTCATCTCAGACATCGGCTGCATCTTGGCCGGGTAAGATCCCAGAGAGGGAGCTGTGAGGTTTCATGCAGAGCTTGCGGTCTAGTTCTGATGGATTGCCTCACCTGACACCACACGTTTATCTCTCCACGCTTATCTCAGGTCCATCTTTGCATTTCTGCCCACACCGGTTTGGGCTGCACCAGCTTAGCGCCTCAGGAAGGTTCATGATCGTGTGAGATTTGCTGTTTTCTCACTACTTTCTAGAAAACTACAGAAACACTGGCAGACCCTCGACTGGTGCAGGTTTTATTTAAAGTCTATAACTTACTAAACAATGAGGACGATGTAATGATGCCAGAACAGTTCTGCAGTTTCAGTGTTTTGCAGCTAATTTCTTGCGGTGGATGAGATCTGGATGAGCTCATTGTGAGGTTGTTCCATTAGTTTCTTATTAGTTGTTCGACATGCCTCATGGTGGTTTCAAGGTGCCACTTTTCTGTAAGGATGTCATCTACAGGGGCCGCTGGTTGAACTGGCGTCCCATGCACAGCGGCCGTGGGTTTGAATCCCGCTCATGGCCCTTTGCTGCAGGTCCTTCCCCCGTTCTCCTCCCTCTTGACTGCCCTATCTAATAAAGGCAAAAAAAACTTTGAAAAAAAGGATGTAATCTCCACTATGACTGTATTCACGGTTTGTGGCTCATGTTCTGTAAATCAGTGTTACTTGTTTTCACCAGAATACTCTTGTAGGAGTTCATTTTCATCTCGGTGAGGTTAAATTAGGTTCAAATAAAACAGTCGATGAGGTAAACACACCAACTTCTGCCCAGCATCTGATTATCAGCCAGAGAGAAGAAAATGTGTGGATCCAACATGTGTTTGTGCCACAGGGGTCTGGCAGCCGGCATCTACACCACCAACTCGCCGGAGGCTTGTCAGTACGTGGCCGCCAACTGCGAGGCCAACGTCCTGGTTGTGGAGAACCAGAAACAGCTCCAGAAGATCCTGCAGGTCAGGAGCTTTAACGCAGCTTCACCAGCCCTCAGTGTGTCCGTACTGACTATCTGCAAAGATGGAGAAGAATCTGTCCTCACATTCTTTTGTTTATCTCCTCACTCCCATCAGGTGAGAGATCACCTGCCTCACCTGAAAGCCATCGTCCAGTATAAAGGCGAGCTGCAGCAGAAAGCACCCAACCTGTACACGGTACGTTGGCACAGGAAACATATGGATGGATCACATGTTGTAGGACGTTTGATGGTGTGTCTGATGCCTGTAGCTGCACTGTTGATCTTTTCATGCAAGTCAGACTTTATTCATGGAGCACTGAAACATAACACAGAGCGCTTTACAGGTGGAAAATGTGGAACGGCAACAAAAGCAGTACAAACAATACGACAGAAATTTGAATCCGTGCCTCCTGATTACATTTCCAGATGGCAGCATGTAGACATCAAAGTGTCCGACTTAAAGTAGAACCTTTTATAGCTTTTAGATGAGCGGTCCATGATGCTCACCACAAATCCTCTATGGGTGGGACTGAATTAAAACCACTGATCTTTGATGTAATCTCTTTATTTCTGTAGTGGGCAGAGTTCATGAAGCTGGGCGAAGACGTGCCCAACGAGCAGCTGGATGCTGTGATCAGCAGTCTCCGGGCCAACGAGTGCTGCACCCTCATCTACACCTCTGGAACCACCGGCACCCCAAAAGGAGTCATGCTGAGCCATGACAACGTGAGTAACCCAGAACAGAGACTGACGCAACTGAACCGCCTCTAAATGCTGCTGCTTCCTGGAGCTGTGGCTAAACGCTGCTGCCATCAATAAATCTGCTGAACAGATTTATGATTATTGCCGCCACAAGTTCCCTGAAGCCAAAAGGACATCTTTGTTTGACTGAAAGTCTGAAAGGCAGCAAATCTCATTTGAACCAGAAAATGTTTGACATTTTTTCACTGACTTTCTACAAAATAATAGTTGGCTATCATCTTTCTTTTGACAAATGATTTCTGCCATGTTGCTGCTTGTATTTAACCTCTTTTTAGCCGGTGCAGGTTTTTCTTTTTTAATGTTTCTGTGTATAAACAGTATTTATGGACACATGAGGCTCCAAGAAGAGCAGCACATATATGTCGAACACAACACCAAAGAACACCGACATGAGTGAACGTAATCTTAAACTCATCAAAAACATGAACACAAAGCTGAATATAAGGAAGTTGGTGTGTGGTACAGTTGTACTCTACTGTGTTTACTGAAATGGGGTTTAATTAAACCTTCACATTTTAAATTACATCCAATAAAGTGGCTATTTATAGAAGCTTTTTTTTTTTTTTTAAAAAAAGGACCCAACATAGAGCCTTGTGGAACACCAGAAACCACCATTACATATATGTATCCGTGCCCTGCTGCCACTGAGCAAATACCTTTTAATGAGAGCGGGGTTCCTGAGATTTGCTGAGTTTAGGATGTTTTTAATTCCAAACAGTCCTTTCTCAGTGCTCCTATGTGGAGTCTTGCTGTCTTCCACTTCCCTTGTCAGCTCAGCATTTCTTCTACGGATTGGGTTTCAAACATAAAGTTTGACATCCCCACGTGTAACTTTCAAAGTTTGGTCAGGAGTATAAAAACTGCTGGGACCTCCTGAAAACGGGTGGGTTGTAACTACAAAAGAGAAACAAACACCACAGATGGTCTTATTCTTCCTTGATACAAGGACTTGGCAGGTTTCATGTCACCAGCAGCAAATCAGCAGCGCTCTCTTTGGCAAGTTCTTGACTAAAGAGGATTTTCCACAATGTGTTTTTACGTACGTATCTCTCCAAGCATTTACACTTCTGATGACGCTGCAGTTGTCACTTCCTCTATGTGCCTCATAAACACGAGGATGTCAAGAGAGCGCTCCAACCAGAGTTCAGTCAGAGAGTTTCATAAGACTTTACAGTCGTTTCCAGCTCCAGGAGTTTGTTTGCTGAGTTGTGAAAATTCAAAGCAAATATTTGATTTAAAAAAACTCTCTGCTGACTTTTCTCCCACATTTTAACGTGCAGATGACGTGGACGGCCAGCATGGCATCGAAGCTGCTGAACAAAAACATTGACAAGGAGGTGCTGGTCAGTTACCTGCCCCTCAGCCACGTGGCGGCCCAGATGATCGACATCTGGGTCTCCATGAGTTTAGGTGCAACCACCTACTTTGCAGATCCAGACGCCCTCAAGGTACGGAGGTTCCTGTAAAAACATTGAACTATTGATGATGAATGGATGTTTCTGAGTGCAGTCGTGTTCTTTTCAGGGCACCTTAGTGAACACGTTGAAAGAGGCTCGTCCAACCTTTTTCTTGGGGGTTCCTCGTGTGTGGGAGAAGATGCAGGAAAGGATGAAAGCTGTCGGCGCCAAGGGATCCCCGATGAGGAAGAGGGTGGCAGACTGGGCCAAGTCCATCGGCCTGCAGTACACCTACAGCGCCATGAACGGGTGAGACAGCAGCACCGATCATTCATCAGACCAACATGTACCTGGACTGGGCAGCAGGTGTCTCAGTGGTTAGCACCGTGGCCTCACAGCTAGAAGGTCGCCGGTTGGCGTCCCGGTGAGGACACCTGGGATCTTCCTGCGTGGAGTCTCCATGTTCTCCCCGTGCAGCGTGGGTTCTCTCCGGGTTCTCCGGCTTCCTCCCACAGTCCACAAACATGCTGAGGTTAATTGGTGATTGTAAATTGTCCGTAGGTGTGAATGTGAGTGTGCTTGGTTGTCTGTCTCTAAGTGTAGCCCTGTGATAGACTGGTTACCTGTCCAGGTAAACCTGCCTTCACCCTGAGTCAGCTGGGATAGGCTCCGCCCCCCATGACCCTGGTGAGGATGAAGGTGTAGAGATGATGGATGGATGTATGTGGTGTTTCCAGTTTTGTCTTCTTATCCGCTGGTTTTCTCTGTGTGATCGTTACAGTCTATGACTATAAACGAACTTCACCACATGAAGACATTTGATGTGAACAAAATGTTGCCTAAAAGCACGAGATCTCAGACATGGGCAGCCCCTCCTCCGTCTCACTGATGCACAGTGGTGCCCTTACTTGATTTTGAAGGGACTATTTAAAGGTTTCCGTTCCAAACCAACGTTCATAACTGATGAGGATGAATGAACACTGCAGCCAAACCTGAGCTCCGTCACAGCTGATGGGATGTTTTTATGTCACTTTTGGTTAAGAAGCATTTATACCAGGGGTCTCAAACTCAGCTTACCCGGGGCCTGCTGGAGCCTGGATGAGTCTGGGCTGCATCACGTATTCCACAAAAAGGTACAACTGATCCAATCTTCTCAATCTTTATTAGTATAATTCAGAACATGAACGGTTCTTCAGAACACAGGCTCCTCCTTCCTCTTACTCAGCTGAGCCACATGTGGCTTGAGGGAGGAAGCAGTGGAGACCCTCAGTGTGGCTTGAAGATGCTCATCAGTAAGTTTGGACCTGCACTTTGACTGATTAAAGCTCATGGTGGAGAAGAGCTTTCACACAGACAGAAAAAAACAGAAACAACATACATTTGCATCAGGTGACAGGATGTATGTCACCTCCACTCGCTGACGCTCCCGAATCACTACGAGAGCTGCCAACTCAAATGTCATTGTGCTTCTCGTACAATGACAATAAAGAGATTCTAAATCTGATCATGTTTCAAGTGACCAGCGCTGCTAGTTCACGCTGCTGTCACAAACCTGAGCTACAGAAGCCCACAGTGATAGAAAACAGGCAGAACAACGACCGGTACAGGTGTGTGTGAGAGAAATGCACACTAATGTTAAACTCTAATGTCAAGCAGGGGCCACAAAACATCGTCCGGGCCCCGAGTTTGAGACCCCTGATTCACATCATCTCTCTGAAAAGACCAATGACTGACAAAGTCTCCTGTCGTGGGTTCGATTCTGTGAAACCTGAAAACAGAGGAGGTGCAGAAGTCTTGTTTCCTCTCAGATCATTTGAAATACAAACATGCTGAGAGTTTCTGCTCAGTGGACGACCCAGCCCGGCTTTAATGTTAACTGTGTTCACCGTCTTAGCGTAGCCTGTCAGAATGCTAACATCTGCTCCTGAGACATGAAGAGCAACCGAGGCGTCAGCGGTGTTTTGCAAACCTTATCTCAGAGTTCTGTCGCTACGTCGACTTATTATCTCATAAACACACACAGATCTCATACTTGCACTGTGATGCCGTCATATTCACAAAAAAAGCATTCAGTAATGACAACAGGGAGGACGGCGTATTTAATGAGCTTTTATTTTCCTGTCTTGGTTTAAGACGGCAGGAGGTGGATGGTGTCGTTATTTATAGTCAACAGTGCGTCTGGACTCTTCCAGGTGAAAAGCTCTCACCTCGTACGACCTGCTCAAAGCTGATCGGCTCCTTCAGGTGCAGAACGAACCTAAACAAGATGAGTCATGTGTCTGAAATGCATCCGAGCCGGTTTTCAGCGTCTTCTGTGACCCATCAGATTTTATGACCTGATCAGGAATTTCACCTTTATCCTAGATGGATGTCTAAATGATGCTGAATGCTCTCATAAACCAGATCCTTCATGTTAGTGTGTGTACGTTATACAGGCTGTTAATATGAACATCATTCTGATAGCTTTAGCTCACAGGTCTACCTGTAGGTGCTGTCTTCTTCTGTGTTCGATGTGACTGACTGCAGACGGAGAACACACACACACACACACACACACACACACTCAGATGTTTTCTCATAATAATGAGATTATAAGACAGCAAGTCATAAACAAGAGAATAACAGCAGTGTATGAGTTCACGTTTTAATGATAATGGAAATGTTTGTTTTCCACTGACACATATAAAAACGATGACGGGGTTTTTGTATCAAACAAGCTTTTTCCCTGAGGTGTAGAAAAGATCTCTGTAGCACCACAATATTTCATTTATAATTATGTTTGAACACAACTTAACTTCATCCAGAGATTTGCAGGAATCAGTTTGGATATTGCATGTGACCATATTGTTATTTTGATGACTTACTGTTCGGCCGACACCGAGGTGTTTGACAATTTGAAATGTGAAGCTTATGATGGGTTTAGATGTTCAGTCTAGAAACAACCTTCGTGGTTGCATTTCATCCCGATGAACGTTGACACCAAACTTCTTCTCAATCCATCCAGATGTTTCTGAGCTGTTCCTTTCTGGACTGCGGTGGTAGATCACTGACACCATCAACTTCACCTGCTCCAGATGTTGAGCTAACAAACCTTTCATATACTCTCCAGCCCTGATTTAAACGTGACTTGTTTGTGCTCCAGGGAGAATCTGGTGCCGTGGGGCTTCATGTTGGCCAACAACCTGGTCTTCAAGAAGGTGCGCGCTGCGCTGGGCCTAGACCGCTGCAAGCTCTGCTTCACCGGAGCTGCTCCCATCACCAAAGACACTCTGGAGTACTTCATGAGCCTCAACATCCCCGTGATGGAGCTCTACGGGATGAGCGAAAGCTCCGGCCCGCACACCGTCTCCATAGACGAGTACCGGATCACGAGGTACGCAGCAACCAATCACGGAGCAGCTAGATTAACGCGTTAACGGGTGACAAACTGCTGTTACACTCAGAAAACCTCACAAAGAGGGAATCTGGTGAGGAGCTGCTTCTCTAGTCTGCCTTTTAATTCAAGATTAATTAATACATTTTTGTATTTATACATTTTTTCCTGTCGGTTTTTATCAAAGTGCTGCAGCTGTTGTTGCTTTTGGCCAAACATTGTCTTAAATCCTTTTATTGTACGACACTATGGCCGACACAAATAAAGCTATTATTACTGTTATTATTATTAGTAGTAGTTGTACTAGTATTATTATTAGTATTAGTCGTAGTAGTAGTAGTAGTACTAGTAGTGGTAGTGGTAGTATTTATGCTGGGGGCGGGGTGCAGGCAGACATTTATGTGTTTTTTAAGAGGTCATAAGCCCAGAACCACCCAGGTCATGTCTATGGCCTGAAGTGCTGCATCTGTTCACGTCTGTTCACGTCTGTTCACGTCTACACGTTGCTGAGTCACGACTCGTGTGTTCCAGCTGTGGAAAGGTGATGCCAGGCTGCAAGACAAAGCTGGAGAACCCGGACGCAGACGGGAACGGAGAGATCTGCTTCTGGGGCCGCCACGTCTTCATGGGCTACCTGAACATGGCCGACAAGACGACGGAGGCTCTGGACGAGGACGGCTGGCTGCACTCGGGAGACCTGGGACGACACGACGAGCATGACTTCCTGTACATCACCGGGAGGATCAAGGGTGAGACTCTTAGTGTCGGAGCAGTTTGGGATCAGACATGGATTTGCACAGTTTCAGCGTTTGGTGCTTCTGTAGAGCCTCGTCTCATCGTTGTAGCTTATTGATGAACTACAGCACATTTATACACCCTCAAACATTAAACCTGTGGCTTCCTAGTGTAACTAGAATTACAGTTTGAGGCCTTTAAATTTGAAAAAGGCTCGTAAGATATATAATAAAGGTATGTTTATGGCTGTGTAGGTGTCCATGTGGACGATATATAACATCATATGATCCAAACCGATGTTCAGCAGCCTCTGACACGTGTGAGGGAAGGTTTCCATTCATATAGATTTAGACATGAATGATGTAAAGTTACAGAAAACACTTGGATGCTGCAACCATTTGGATTTTTTTTAGTTCAGCACTAAAAGCATGATTGTGCATTTTGAAAAGTTAATTAATAAAATGCCAAAACACATAAACATACATCAACATATGCATATACTCTACAGCTATGTCTGTAGCTGTAACTGTTTTTATTACTTTTTAGGATTTGGGGGGTTTAGGTGGGTTAGGGTGACGCTTTAGAGAAGTCACTGTGATCAATGGATATTTATCCTCTGCTAGTCGCTCTTAGAGACACAAATCCTGGAAAACAGCACAACGCAGACACGCAGACGTCATCCTGATGGACGCTGAACAACGTTTGTTTTTCTGCACAGAGCTGATCATCACTGCCGGTGGCGAGAACATCCCTCCGGTGCCCATCGAGGATGCCGTGAAGGCCGAGGTGCCCATCATCAGCAACGCCATGCTGATCGGAGACAAGCTCAAGTTCCTCTCCATGATGCTCACGCTCAAAGTAACCGAGCCTCAGTTTCTGCGACACGGTCGTAGCTGCAGATCAAGCAGAACCAACACAGTAACTACCCTTTTCTCTGCTTCGTTCAGTGCGTCATGGACGACAACGGCGAGCCCACGGACGAGCTGACCCCGGAGGCTTTGGATTTTTGCATCCAGAACGGCATCGCGGCGACCAAGGTGTCAGAGATCATCGCCAACAAGGAGCCGGCTGTGTACAAAGCCATCCAGGAGGGGATGGAGCGGGTCAACGCCAGGTCCACGTCCAACGCCCAGAAGGTCCAGAAGTGGGTCATACTGGAGCGAGACTTCTCTGTCACTGGAGGAGAACTAGGTCAGCTATCAGAATGTTCTCTTGCTCACTTAGTTCCTCTGGTATCTGGAGGAAAGGTGAACATGCAACACTGTAATTAAGGAATGAGGAAGCTCGCTGTTAATCGGCCTGTATTTGAGGTCAGGTCTGTCTTGTGACGGCGCTACGTGCTGAACAGCATTCCAGTGAAGTCTGTTCAGCAGCGTTTGCATCTCTGCAGCAGATCAAATACTGAATCTTTATCTCGAGGTGCAGATCGACTCAATCTCTTGTTCTTTTCTGTTTGTCTGTGCAGGACCCACGATGAAGCTGAGGAGGCCCATTGTGGTGAAGATGTACCAGGACAGGATAGATGAAATGTACGCAGCGGCGGCAGCGAAGCCGTAGACTGAGATGACAGGCAGACGGAGGGAATGTGGCCAGACGATATCACGTAGGAGGAAAAGTGTTGATTCTGACTGTATTTAATAGAAATTTGTGTTGCTATGTTTGAATGTCTTGAGTTTTCCAGGAGCTGTAGAGAAGTCTGTCTGATGGTTGAGCTGTTAGATGCACATACAGATTTACAGCAGCGGCACATTTTGTAAATACAATCTCCAAATCAGAGCCAAATCTTGCCATATGGAACCTGCAGGCGAAGACACTACAACTCAAAGACGGCACACTAGAAGTGGGAAGCACTGGATGTCAGCATCAGCTAACTTTTTACAGTTTATGAAGGAATTGTTGTAACTCAGAATGTGTCCCCAAAGATGCTTGATCATAAGATATGTGTTTTATTTCTGGAGCAGCAGTATGTATTTAAAGATTTTACAGCATTAATTGCCAGTTTCCAGTCTCATGTTGTGAGTTAATCCCCATCTGGAGAAGACTGGAGGTGAAGAAGTATTTTTATAATGAGAGAAGAATATTAACAGTCCAATCAGAAGCATGTGCAAACGGTATATTATGCATTTGTTCTTCTCCGTGTACAGTCTGACACATACTGAAATATTTATTTTGTGATAGATATTCCATGAATGTCAATAAAAAGTGAGTGATTTTGACAAATTGACCAAACTGGGTTGAACAAAGTGTGTGTTTTTATTTCTGAATCATCAGTTTAAGTGAATGTCATTGTGAGCAGCGTCCACATGATGATGGATGAGTAGCTGAGGGCTCAAAGACTCATATGGACAATATGCATAAGGGACAATATTTACCGTGTGATCCATTTCAAACACTGCTGGCTTTTTACTGAGTCAGTAAACAGCCTCCAGCCTCTAACACACACACACACACACGCTTGGTTGTCTGTCTCTAAGTGTAGCCCTGTGATAGATGGATGGATGGATGGATGGATGTAGTACTTGATTGGTTGCTGCAGCAGTGCATCAAAAAGCTGCACATTTTTTAATGTAAAACATCCACTGATATGCAGTAAATGCCGGATACGTACCAAAGACACAGGACACGTGGTTGATTTGACATAAAACGCAGGTTTTTGTACGAGCACACTGGAGTCTTGCTTATTTAAGATGAAGATGTTGCACCTCTTAAAAGCCTTTAAATGAACTTTTTCTGACTATATGTGTGTGTTTTATCTTTGGAGCCCAGCAGGAGACCAGTACAGTGAGTTCAGTGATTAAACTGGATATTATATTTCATGTGATTCTGTTTTTTTGCACTGAACCCATCATCACCGTTTCTTTGCATTTTAATAAAACTACAGTTTGACGTCAGAAAGAAAAATCCCTCCGGCTTTAGCGCTTAATTAATTAACGTCATTAACCAAAAGATCCATTTAGACCGGGTTCATTCAGAGAACAGGACTGTATAACTACAGGAACAAGGCCACCGGCTGAGACAACTAGTGAACTACATTTATCAGAGACTGAACTCAGGTTTGGCCCGGTGTAGGTCAGAGACAGCTCCCTACTGATCTTTGTTTCTGATTTATCTTCTCTCGTCCTCTCTTACATCGTGCTGATCCTGCTGGTTTGTTTGTCATGCAGACGTCTCGTCAGTACAGGCTGTGCTCGTCAAGCTCCCCCTTCACTCAGACTTCACATCAGATTGCAGCTTTTGGACAAACTGGTTGTGTTGCGTCTCATTTCGGAGCAGTTGTGCAGATAAAGCTGCGATGGCATTTCAGCTCCAACAGACTGAGGTCAGCTGCAGGTGACGAGAAAGAATCCTTATCCTCCATCACTGTTTGATTTGACCTCAGATAGGGTAATCATCATCATCATCGTCATCATCGTCGTGCATTAACCACAGACTTCCTGACGTCTGATAAAGCGTACCGATCAGGGCTGATACATGCATCAGCACATTCATCGCTGTGTTCTGAAAAGCATCTAAAGACTTCACTGTTCCATCATCATGTGTCCCTAAACGTCCTTCACTGTCTCATATCATGACCCACATGATGGCCGTCGCTCCAGCAGGACTTCAGCTGTAGAGGAGCCCACAAAAATAATCTGATTACTTTATAACAGAAACATCAACCAGCACAACCACTTAGTTTTTAATGTTGTATTGTGCCTCTTTTCTGCAAATTAATCCAAATCTCATCCATCCATCCATCATCTCTACACCTTCATCCTCACTGTGGGGGGCGGAGCCTATCCCAGCTGACTCAGGGTGAAGGCAGGTTCACCTGGACAGGTAACCAGTCTATCACAGGGCTACACTTAGAGACAGACAACCAAGCACACTCACATTCACACCTACGGACAATTTACAATCACCAATTAACCTCAGCATGTTTCTGGACTGTGGGAGGAAGCCGGAGAACCCGGAGAGAACCCACGCTGCACGGGGAGAACATGGAGACTCCACGCAGAAAGATCCCGGGTGTCCTCACCAGCTGTGAGGCCACGGTCAATTATTGTTTTAGTTTAAAGTACTGCAGACAGTTAATTCCACCATCACCTGCTTTCAGGACTCTTCTGCTCTGAAAACAACGAGCTGCTGTTCTGGCGCCCTTCAGGGACGTGTTGGTGGAACTGGGCCGAACCGCCGGCTGTGGTCACATAAAGCAGAAGGGCGTCGAACACAGAAACAAACTGTGTAAATAATGTAAACAGTTAAATACACATAACATGTAGAGCCTCTGTTTCTCTCCAGCTTTGGCGCCACCTGCTGGCAGACGTTGATTCTGTTTGTTGTTTGTTTTTTGTTTTTGTAAAATGAATAATAAAAGAAATGATCTTTTCTATGATCTATAGCTTTACAACTGTGCAGAAGACACGTTTGACTTCTCTCTACTCCCAGTCACGGTCGAGCTGTTTCCACAGAGGTGCAGGACTTCAGATTACAGTAAAAAATGAGCCAACAGGGAATAAAAAACGTGACGCCCAGAGACGGCTTGAACTTAAAAATGATCACGACAACTTCAAGTTAATAGAAACAGAAAGCTCACACTTAAGATAAACCAAAAGTTTTCTCATTTTCTTTCTATGAAGGCACAGATTTGGACTGTGTTCAGACTGCCTCTTTTATTTCTGTTTTATTTTATGCATTCACAGTTACATATTTAATGTGTGAGCGAGCAGAGGAACCAGATCCTCACACAAACATGACAGTTGTTAGAAGTTCGCCCACATCACACTCATTTCAACCTGGAAACCCAGTAATAATGTGAACATGAGGCTTAAACTGTGAGTTTTAGGTCCAGGAACAGGATTCAATCAGCATTATGTTCACAATTAAACTCTTTAAGGCTTCTGGATAACCTGCTGTGATACGAACAGGTTGAAACACGTCGTAACTAGTTTGTAGGGAGGAGTGAAGTCCTTCCTGCATAAAGCTCACAGTCACGTCTCCATCAGAGGTGACCTGCAGGCTGCATGGCTGCATTCTGAGCTGGAGGCCACGCTGAACACACCCTGGAATCACAGCCAGCCACAGTTTGGCCTCTGGCTGATCACAAACACGTTTTCACATCACAGCACAACAAAGACATTCTGCCTTTTGGGAACAAGTCTCCATTTGATCTTAAACATTAAAGATTTGTTGAACCAGTCGACTCTGGATTCCCACAAACTTCCCAAACTGTCTGACTCGTGTTTGTACTTCCAGCAGAAACGCTCCTTCTTGTTATTAAAGCACTTTGATGACATGAATCCTCCTGAAGACACAGTGAACAGGTTTCTGTGAAGACGTTTATCCGTTCTATGATATCTGCTGCTCGCACAAAGAGAAAAGCAAACGGACCTGCTGGTGAATCAACTTGTTTTTTACTCACAGCTACTACGTGTCACAACACTGCCCCCGTGTGGCCGAAAGAAGGTACAACAGCCACGAGTGAGCAGGAGCTGAGGAGCCCTCCTCATCACAGAAACATGATTAAATACGCACCGATGAATGTTTTCAGACACATAGAAAAAGGAATATGTTACACAAGAGTGAATCAAAAGATGTTCTTATACGAGGCAGCGGCTCCGTTATATCCATGAGTAGATGTTTTGGTTAAAGGTCAGTTCACGATTTACAGCACAGCACGTTCACCTCCTCCAGCTTCAGCAGCGTCTCACCGTGAAGATAGTCCTGGTTCAAGAGTCTGAACCCACCAGAGCTGAACTAGCTCCTGGTTTGCTCACAGCGTTGGTTTGTTTTTAAAGAGCGTCTCTCTTTAGACGAGACATCCTCCCTCATGTTCAATTATTCAAGAAAAAGTCGTGAAAATGGCTCATGCAGGAGATGCTGCTCTTCACTGCAGTCATAACTCCTTTCTGCTGCTTATGTACACTATGGACAGACACAGAGCAACATTTATTCTGGGTAGCGTTGCTGGAAAAACGATTAAATTGAGTTTAATATTTAGAAATGTTGCTCTTTGTGGACTCCAGATAGAAATATCTCATCACCTGCTTTGTCTGAGCTCTTTCTGGTGTGGGTCAGTTAACACACAGGGAATTGATTTATTTATTCTTAAGACTAAAGTCAGTGAAGCTGTGGGCTGAAAATCCCAAACAGGAAGCTTAAAGATGGTGAAAGGCTTTGTAGAGCAGAAGGGAGCCGCAGAGGGGTGATCCTCTCCTGGTTTGGCACTATGAGAATTCCCTTTTTCACATGATACATAGTTTTTTATAAAACACTGACGTCTGCAGCTTTAATCATCCAAGGCTGTGAGCAACTAATGTAAACCTCTGATATCTGAAGACTATCTCCACGGTGAGACGGGAGGAAAAACCGGTGAGTAAATATAGCCTTTAGTACTTTCAGTGAACCGACGCCGGCTTCTTCTTCCTCATTTGGTCGTCATGGCGACTCCCTGCTTGACCCAGGCGTTGCTGTTGAGCAGAGAGAGCATGAAGCGAGCGACGTCGCCTCTTCCCACCGAGCCGCTGACGGAGTCGCCGCTGCTGGGGGGCACAAAGTACCCGCCATGGGTCAGGAACTCCTGAGCTGTAGAGGACACCAGATAAGACAGATCAGAGGAGGAGTGGGTGGGTGGGTGGATGGATGGATGGATGGATGGATGGATGGATGGATGGATGGATGGATGGATAGATAGATAGATAAACTTTGTCTGTCCCAGAGATTCAGGCTCCAACAATAAAAACACAACACATATGAAGACATGAGCTCACAGACGTCTAAAAGAATTGTTAAAAATAAACAGCAGCTGATAAAATGTTCTGTTCAGCGTCTTGTTTCATTGTGTTCAGGGCGGTTATTGCAGTGGGAATAAAGGATTTTTATAGATGCTGTTGCAGCCCAGTGGGACTCTGTGATGTGGAAGGACTGATGCATACAGATTTCTGTTGCTGTTGTCAAACGTTACTGGGAGAACAGAGCCGTGTTGACATGATGTGAACAGTGCTGTATTCTGTTGTTGATGTGGGAGAGCTCTGAAGACACAAACTATGTTATGAGAGGTTACTGCATCAATAAAAACAAGAAAAATGATTATATTTTAACTTGGTTCTCTGGACAGAAGATGTGTGTGATCCACACTGAAGCCTCGGGGAACTGGCTGGCTGTTCCCACAGAAGCTGCATTAAGCGAAGTGGGCACATGTCACTGAGCAGCACCGTGACAGAACGGATCCAGGGGCAGTGAAGCTGCTT